TATGCAAGTAATAACTGTCTTTTGGTGTTAAAACTCCTTTTAATTAACAGAATACATAAAATTGGGCACTTTTGATGGTGCATTACTATTTTCCTCAGGCAAAATTATTTGACAATATTGTCTATTCATCAAAAGAGGTCCTCAGATGAAAGGGACTATTCCTGTTTCATATTATTTTTACATCAGCTCTAATCAGTCCATGACATTCAGTATGGCTGATAGTGGCCCAGTTTGTTTCATTTGTTTTTATTGTTCCAATCACCAGACTTCTTGCCTGAACATACAGAATTTTATTTTACTGAGAAACTGCCAGCACTACATACTGACTGTTGATAGCATAAAAAATATCTGGTGATAAAGCATTCCAATTGAAAAATAGCTGATTTATATATAAATGTAATTAAGTTATTCTTGTTTCTTTAAATATAAATACAAGTATTCCTCATACAATACAGTTTTGCTCTAACATGGTACAAGAACTGGAGACACTTTTCACAAAATATCACAAAGTTTAAGTGTAAATACTCTTGTTTGTTTTTTTTTTTTTTTTTTTTAATTCAAGCAAGATTTGTGTCGTCTCATATTTGTCTATGGATTTTAGAATATTGAAGTTTTCAGGTGCTTTGTGCCTTTTGCATGGTTTTCTTTAATGTGAATTGATTATACAATTTGTCTTCTTTCTTGTCCTAGCTTCCTATTCTAGCTTTCCTATAAACCAGGTGTTGCTGTCATTGGTGATAGTGCTCTAAATGAACTAAAAAGATTGTCACTGTGCTTTTTTTTTTTTTTAATAGATTAAATTAAAAGGTACTACATAAAACGATTAAATTTTTAAAGATCTCTTAGGCAATGCAAGCAAAAAGCAAATGAAAATATTGGATTTTATGAAAAAAGTAGCGAAAAATCAAGACATTAATACTTCAGATTATGGTCAATAGAAGATCTCAGATGACAATATTTTCTCAAAATAAAAATCCTTATTTAACAGTGTTAAGTAGTGGAAAAAAAATTTAATATTAACATGCAATACTTTTGTTTGTGTTTGTTAGTTAAATAGATCTTTATTAAAGCAATCAATAATTATCTTAATTATAAAAAAGAATAGTATACTTTTATTAACTTGAAACCTAACCCTATGTTTTGTACTTGTTCTTTATTTTGTATAGCACAGATGGTATGCAAATCTGCACTATACAAAATATGACTTTTTGAATCTAACTACTGTGTTATACAGAGATATCTGTATATGTAGTCTATTTATATGCAGTTTACTGATAAATCATTTCCTCTTAAAAAATAACAAACACATGCATTATAAAAGAAATAGAGAAAAATTATCAGTTTATTTGCTAATTATTTCCATTACATAAGCTATAATTTTGGCTGCCAGATACATTTTATTGTTATTGAATTACCTATGTATAAATTATTATTAGAGAGAGAATAAATTCAAACAGTTTTATGTTTTAGTTTGCATTGAAATTTCAATTTTAACTGAATCTTTATTATTTTGAAATTAGAGAAATGATATTTTATGTTCAGAAACTCTCATCAGAAAATCAGGTTTTTTCATATTTATATATAAAAACAATTAACTGTTTTATTGTGTTGCATTTTAGTTTTTAATAAATTGATTAAAAATATTTTTTTAAATTTTCAGATGATACATTTTTTTCTAAATAAAAAAGGAAAAAATAAGAATTTTTTTACAATGATTATTAAATCAAACATCAGAAAGTTTGATAAACTTCATTTTTTTTTAATATGATTAATTTCATATTACAGTAATACCCCGAACTTATGCGATAGGTGGGACCGAGAGATAACCGCGTAAATCGAATTCGCATAAGTCTGGGTATAATTTCGCAATTTGTGTAAAATCCAAGTCAGACATATGTAAGCTAATAAATGTTCTCGTTAATCTTATCTCGTCTTTTGATTCGTTCACGGTTACAAGAAATCACCACATGCAGTCTCTCGAGTCTTTGTAGATATAACAAACACAGAAATAANGTGTCAGAGTGAATCCGTGCTATAACAGTACCGTGTTATACGGGGATGGTACCAATTCTCAAACCGTGTTAGAGTGAATCCATGCTATAGAAGTGCCTTGTTATACAGGGGTTACCTGTATATGCAAGTAATAACTGTCTTTTGGTGTTAAAACTCCTTTTAATTAACAGAATACATAAAATTGGGCACTTTTGATGGTGCATTACTATTTTCCTCAGGCAAAATTATTTGACAATATTGTCTATTCATCAAAAGAGGTCCTCAGATGAAAGGGACTATTCCTGTTTCATATTATTTTTACATCAGCTCTAATCAGTCCATGACATTCAGTATGGCTGATAGTGGCCCAGTTTGTTTCATTTGTTTTTATTGTTCCAATCACCAGACTTCTTGCCTGAACATACAGAATTTTATTTTACTGAGAAACTGCCAGCACTACATACTGACTGTTGATAGCATAAAAAATATCTGGTGATAAAGCATTCCAATTGAAAAATAGCTGATTTATATATAAATGTAATTAAGTTATTCTTGTTTCTTTAAATATAAATACAAGTATTCCTCATACAATACAGTTTTGCTCTAACATGGTACAAGAACTGGAGACACTTTTCACAAAATATCACAAAGTTTAAGTGTAAATACTCTTGTTTGATTTTTTTTTTTTTTTTTTTAATTCAAGCAAGATTTGTGTCGTCTCATATTTGTCTATGGATTTTAGAATATTGAAGTTTTCAGGTGCTTTGTGCCTTTTGCATGGTTTTCTTTAATGTGAATTGATTATACAATTTGTCTTCTTTCTTGTCCTAGCTTCCTATTCTAGCTTTCCTATAAACCAGGTGTTGCTGTCATTGGTGATAGTGCTCTAAATGAACTAAAAAGATTGTCACTGTGCTTTTTTTTTTTTTTAATAGATTAAATTAAAAGGTACTACATAAAACGATTAAATTTTTAAAGATCTCTTAGGCAATGCAAGCAAAAAGCAAATGAAAATATTGGATTTTATGAAAAAAGTAGCGAAAAATCAAGACATTAATACTTCAGATTATGGTCAATAGAAGATCTCAGATGACAATATTTTCTCAAAATAAAAATCCTTATTTAACAGTGTTAAGTAGTGGAAAAAAAATTTAATATTAACATGCAATACTTTTGTTTGTGTTTGTTAGTTAAATAGATCTTTATTAAAGCAATCAATAATTATCTTAATTATAAAAAAGAATAGTATACTTTTATTAACTTGAAACCTAACCCTATGTTTTGTACTTGTTCTTTATTTTGTATAGCACAGATGGTATGCAAATCTGCACTATACAAAATATGACTTTTTGAATCTAACTACTGTGTTATACAGAGATATCTGTATATGTAGTCTATTTATATGCAGTTTACTGATAAATCATTTCCTCTTAAAAAATAACAAACACATGCATTATAAAAGAAATAGAGAAAAATTATCAGTTTATTTGCTAATTATTTCCATTACATAAGCTATAATTTTGGCTGCCAGATACATTTTATTGTTATTGAATTACCTATGTATAAATTATTATTAGAGAGAGAATAAATTCAAACAGTTTTATGTTTTAGTTTGCATCGAAATTTCAATTTTAACTGAATCTTTATTATTTTGAAATTAGAGAAATGATATTTTATGTTCAGAAACTCTCATCAGAAAATCAGGTTTTTTCATATTTATATATAAAAACAATTAACTGTTTTATTGTGTTGCATTTTAGTTTTTAATAAATTGATTAAAAATATTTTTTTAAATTTTCAGATGATACATTTTTTTCTAAATAAAAAAGGAAAAAATAAGAATTTTTTTACAATGATTATTAAATCAAACATCAGAAAGTTTGATAAACTTCATTTTTTTTTAATATGATTAATTTCATATTACAGTAATACCCCGAACTTATGCGATAGGTGGGACCGAGAGATAACCGCGTAAATCGAATTCGCATAAGTCTGGGTATAATTTCGCAATTTGTGTAAAATCCAAGTCAGACATATGTAAGCTAATAAATGTTCTCGTTAATCTTATCTCGTCTTTTGATTCGTTCATGGTTACAAGAAATCACCACATGCAGTCTCTCGAGTCTTTGTAGATATAACAAACACAGAAATAAATAACACAAAATAAATTGTAGCTATGCGTCAATTCTGCGCTACACGTCCGAACATGTAAGCCGAACAATAGTATGGGGGAAGTGAGTAATCAAAAGTTGCGTGGTGCTCAAACAAAAGACGAATCGACGAGAGTTGAAAATCGTGTAAGTTGGGGTAGCGTAAGTTGAGGTATTACTGTAGTTTATAAAAATGCTTGATTAAACATTAATCATGATTGGTCTAATAGGTTAATTTAATGTTAGGTATTATACTGAATATTTGAAAATTCATATTTTATATTTATATAATGCATAGGAGATATCAATTCTTACAGAGCTTCTAATTTTTATATTCATTAAATGCTTCAGATTCAAGTATAGCTGTAAAATATTTTTATCCTGTTAATTTGTAGGAAGAAAAAGAATTACAGATTGTAAAAACCTTCAGATAATCATTAAGTACTTCTTAGTAAAAATTAAAGTGACATTGTTTTACAATATGGTATTTCCAATGTTTAATTTTATTTTAAATGAAGTTTCTACTCAATTATTAATTGTAAAGAATTGATTTTGCATTCTATTTTTATATTATCATTTATATTGATGTACGATCATGCATTTATTTAGTTAAACTAAACTACCATCATATCAAATATTTATAAGTAAACCTTAGGATTTGGCAAATACTGAAATGCATGAACCAAGTTCTTACTGGCTTTATTAACTATGTAGTAGCATTTTGCCAGGCAACTGTAAGGATAAGTTGAGTTCAGAATATTCAGGACAATTAATTATAAAACTAATTCTTTAAAGATAGTTTTAAAAGAAACTCGTTTGGTAATAATTCCTATTTTTTATTTCTTTTTAATTAAATAGATGGATTACCCCTAGGACAGCGGAATATACCCCTGTCTCCTGAATTTGACTATCATCATGCAATGGCCCAACATGCGGCTGCTGTCTCAGCTGCAAATAACTCGTCTCTTCACTCAGCTATGGCAATGTTACCTACAGGATTAAACCTATCAGTTAATGCAGCAAATCAAGGTATTTCTCCTGGCATACCAACTTCTTCTTTGACAAATAGTCATTCTGCTTACCATATAAATCATCGGATGTCAAATCCTGGATTAAGTGGAAGTGGTAAAGGAAAATCAAAATCAAAAAAACCAAAAGTGAATAGAGCTGGGATTCCAGCACCAAAACGTGCATTAACAGCTTATATTAATTTTACGCAATGGTATAGAGAAGAATTGAAAAAGGCTGGAAGAGAAATACCAAAGGTCAGTTTTTTCTTAATAATTAAATAAAAATTTATCATTAGCAATACTTGTTAAACAAACATTATATTATCATATTCTTATAAATGAATGAATGGTATGATTATATACTTAAAAATTCTTTTATCATATAAGTATAAATTGAAGTGTTCTAAAACTTAACTTGATTTTATTATTATTATTATTATTATTTTATGATGGTGAGTGTCAATAATATTTTATCAAAATTTTTTAAACAGATTTAATATCTAGATCAAAATAGTTACAAAAAAAAAATTTAACAATAAGTTTATTTTGCAGTTTCTTAATTAATTATAATTGAATGACCTAGTGATAAATTTATCTTATATACTAATTAAATTAATTAATATAAAAATTTTACTCAATGGCATTAATAATTTATATAAGATAAAAAAAATACTGTTAAATCTATGATAGACTTAATTTAATTTGTAAAATTTTTATATCAAAAGGATTCCAAGATTTCTAAAAATTGGTTTTTATTGATTGCTGTATTGCTGTTTTATTAGGATTGTTTATTTTTTTATTTCTCTATTTGGTTTTAACATTTCAGACTTGCAGTTTATTAAAAACAACATACCATGCATATACATTTTCAGCAAATAACATCTATTTGAATTAAATACAAAATAAAATATTTTTAGGCCTCTTTTGGGGGGAGAGTATATACCAGATTGGAAGGTTTATAGAGACCACAGAGCCAACCACAACTTAGAATATGTGGGTACCACAGGGTGACCTTTAAACACCTACCTCAAAAAATATCAGACTATCTTGAAAGGGTTGGCCAACACCACATTAGCAACCTTCACTTTCGATTCCAACATAGATGTACTATACATTTTCAACCATTTATGTCACCTACATAACACCTTCCACAAAGAACAACTTAGATATTTAGAGCAGTTAGAGATTTATAAAGTTGTAAGAAAAAATGCTGCTATAAACTTTTGAGATGTAGATTTCCTTCCCCCTGCATGAAAGTCAAGCTATGATCTTTAACTTACAACTCTCTCTTCCTCCCTCTCTCTTTCTTATGTCAACCCTTAACACATGGATGGCAATCCCCTTGTTTTAACAGCTGCAAAGGTCAGTTAGCCTCAGATGCCCATTTAACACAATTGAAAACATTTACTTTTGTTTTGTTAATTAATTATATTCAGTTTTGAGCAATTGATCATCATTTATGTTTTTTAAATTTTCAAGATGAATCAGATTAATAAATTGCAGTAGAAGTTACTTCCATTATCAAACAANATCATGCATTTATTTAGTTAAACTAAACTACCATCATATCAAATATTTATAAGTAAACCTTAGGATTTGGCAAATACTGAAATGCATGAACCAAGTTCTTACTGGCTTTATTAACTATGTAGTAGCATTTTGCCAGGCAACTGTAAGGATAAGTTGAGTTCAGAATATTCAGGACAATTAATTATAAAACTAATTCTTTAAAGATAGTTTTAAAAGAAACTCGTTTGGTAATAATTCCTATTTTTTATTTCTTTTTAATTAAATAGATGGATTACCCCTAGGACAGCGGAATATACCCCTGTCTCCTGAATTTGACTATCATCATGCAATGGCCCAACATGCGGCTGCTGTCTCAGCTGCAAATAACTCGTCTCTTCACTCAGCTATGGCAATGTTACCTACAGGATTAAACCTATCAGTTAATGCAGCAAATCAAGGTATTTCTCCTGGCATACCAACTTCTTCTTTGACAAATAGTCATTCTGCTTACCATATAAATCATCGGATGTCAAATCCTGGATTAAGTGGAAGTGGTAAAGGAAAATCAAAATCAAAAAAACCAAAAGTGAATAGAGCTGGGATTCCAGCACCAAAACGTGCATTAACAGCTTATATTAATTTTACGCAATGGTATAGAGAAGAATTGAAAAAGGCTGGAAGAGAAATACCAAAGGTCAGTTTTTTCTTAATAATTAAATAAAAATTTATCATTAGCAATACTTGTTAAACAAACATTATATTATCATATTCTTATAAATGAATGAATGGTATGATTATATACTTAAAAATTCTTTTATCATATAAGTATAAATTGAAGTGTTCTAAAACTTAACTTGATTTTATTATTATTATTATTATTATTTTATGATGGTGAGTGTCAATAATATTTTATCAAAATTTTTTAAACAGATTTAATATCTAGATCAAAATAGTTACAAAAAAAAAATTTAACAATAAGTTTATTTTGCAGTTTCTTAATTAATTATAATTGAATGACCTAGTGATAAATTTATCTTATATACTAATTAAATTAATTAATATAAAAATTTTACTCAATGGCATTAATAATTTATATAAGATAAAAAAAATACTGTTAAATCTATGATAGACTTAATTTAATTTGTAAAATTTTTATATCAAAAGGATTCCAAGATTTCTAAAAATTGGTTTTTATTGATTGCTGTATTGCTGTTTTATTAGGATTGTTTATTTTTTTATTTCTCTATTTGGTTTTAACATTTCAGACTTGCAGTTTATTAAAAACAACATACCATGCATATACATTTTCAGCAAATAACATCTATTTGAATTAAATACAAAATAAAATATTTTTAGGCCTCTTTTGGGGGGAGAGTATATACCAGATTGGAAGGTTTATAGAGACCACAGAGCCAACCACAACTTAGAATATGTGGGTACCACAGGGTGACCTTTAAACACCTACCTCAAAAAATATCAGACTATCTTGAAAGGGTTGGCCAACACCACATTAGCAACCTTCACTTTCGATTCCAACATAGATGTACTATACATTTTCAACCATTTATGTCACCTACATAACACCTTCCACAAAGAACAACTTAGATATTTAGAGCAGTTAGAGATTTATAAAGTTGTAAGAAAAAATGCTGCTATAAACTTTTGAGATGTAGATTTCCTTCCCCCTGCATGAAAGTCAAGCTATGATCTTTAACTTACAACTCTCTCTTCCTCCCTCTCTCTTTCTTATGTCAACCCTTAACACATGGATGGCAATCCCCTTGTTTTAACAGCTGCAAAGGTCAGTTAGCCTCAGATGCCCATTTAACACAATTGAAAACATTTACTTTTGTTTTGTTAATTAATTATATTCAGTTTTGAGCAATTGATCATCATTTATGTTTTTTAAATTTTCAAGATGAATCAGATTAATAAATTGCAGTAGAAGTTACTTCCATTATCAAACAAACTTTATTTTTATTAATGAATTTGACAAAATTTTGTGGCATAGTAAACACTACTATTGTGTTTTATTCCAAAGACACATGGCAAATTTTCCAGCAAATTCCTTTATTAGTTGAGTCGAAAATTTTCACATGCTCTTGCCTAACCAGTTATTATTGGTCAACATATAGTTTTTTCAAAATTTAAACTTTTGAAATTTTTTTAATCTAACTATATTTTCTGCTATTTCATTTGGTAGCTAGCAATCCATTGGAATTCTCAGAGGATATTAAATATATACTAAGTCTTGGTGATATCACCTTCTTTATTCTTCTGTGTGTTTTTGTGTGTGCGTGAGACAAATAAAGTGAATTAATTCACTGAGCTGCATAATTTATGTTTATATTTTAGAAATATTGTAAAGTACTAAGTGAATTTTTGCCTTTTACAATGATTAGCGACATGACTGTGTGCCGGAAATAGCCGCTACCTAAAAGGTACTTTACGTGGATTTGCGTTGATGTGCCAAGCCTAGACTTCAAGCGTGCACTGAATTAAATAATGACAAAGTTAGTCAAAATCAAATTAAATATTTAATAATTCTAATAACGACTATATACAAAAATTAGTAACAATCAATAACAAATTTGTTCAAAGAAAAAATCAATAAGAATCAACCCGACAAAACTCAAATTAATCTATTTGCTAACTTAAATCTATTCCCCTTTGGAACTCCACAAAAATTTCAAAGACTTAACTTATGTACAACAATTCTTATGAACTAAGGTCCTAATCGTCACCTCAATATACTAGGAATCTTTTTCCTCAACTCTCAAGACTTTCTCTAATCTTTTGTCCACAAATTGAATAACTTCAAAATTGCCTTGGAACCACTTTATCGCTATCGGACACCTCTTGTCGTTTGCTGTTACGAAGCTCACCACGCTCATTGCTAACAGAAGCTCATCTTGGTCATCTTCACTCGAGGTTTGGACTTTATACTATGATATGACGTCACAATTCTGATTGAGATCACTCCCCTCATTTACATACTTATCACTAACAGTTAACTTTTCCTTTCTGCCTGGCAGTCTATTTCCCGACAATACTCGCTAACCTTTTACATTATTCTTTTTTACAATTTTTCAGGATGTTTTATTCTTTAAGGTTTAGCAAGTTGGGAGGACCCCACAAGTTGTGCTTGTGGGGTCTCCCTCCTTCTTTCTTGGTGTGGACTTACTTTTTCCACTCAGGAGCGCAAATGTGCATGAGTTTTTTGTATGGCACTTTTTTTTTATCGGTGAGTTGGTTCTCTTTCTTCTATTTTAAGTTTCTAAGATGAGTGGCGAGGAAACTTTCATCCTAACAAAACATAAGCCCCAAACAAAAATAGAATAGGTGTATTGAGTTCACGGGTTGGATGTCACGCCAACTTATGTCAATCAAAACTTCCAAGAACGTCAGTCTATGAGGCGTTAAATATACTTGAAATTATTTTTAATTTACGAGCGCTTTCGACGTAAATAAGCACGTCGTCTTCAGGTAAAATTAAATTCGAATAAAGAATTCGAACCANCGGCTAGTATCGTTAATGTTTTAAATTTAAATGTATGGTTCGAATTCTTTATTCGAATTTAATTTTACCTGAAGACGACGTGCTTATTTACGTCGAAAGCGCTCGTAAATTAAAAATAATTTCAAGTATATTTAACGCCTCATAGACTGACGTTCTTGGAAGTTTTGATTAAAAATAGAATAGAAAGCAAAATAAAAAATAACTAAAAATAATGCTCAGACTTGGTTCCTTATACCATAAAACTGTTGAAAAATTCTTTTTGTGTAAGGTGAAATTAGTCTCCAGTAATATGACTATTATAGACTAAATCTGTAACCTTAAAGAGATAATTTATGAGAAAGAGTGTGGTTTAAGTATCTAAAAGAATACATTAAAATATTATAACTCCTTTATTATAATATTTTTGTGGCTATTGTCTTAATATTTTTACAACAATAGCTGCAAAAACATTACAATAAAATGAAGTAATGCTGTGGCTAAACCCTTAGACATTAGAGAAATTTTCCAAAATACAAGATGATCCTGCACTTTAAAAGTGAAATTTGAATAAAATGTTCAATATCTAAATTCCTGGTTAAAAAAAAAAGTGAGAGAGAAATTAAACATGTGCAGATGTTATGAGTAATGTGAGGGATAAATTAGTCAGTTATTGAACCATGGTTTCAATTTTTATGAAAAATCAAAATAGAGGGGGAAAAGTACTTTAGTAGCTGGAAAAGGATATAAATACTCAGACACCTTCTATATTGGTTCCAGCAGATAGCTTTACCTATATTAGCTTGATTAGTAGACCATTAATAACCAGAATAAGGGAGCATGTGTACAACATCTCAAAAATTAATTTTAATACTGCTCTGGCCCAATTTGCATGCAAGCCTGGTGTGTCCCCATGTGTTGGAACAAGGTTAAGATTCTAAACATCATCATTGATATACAACAGCTAAGAATAACAGAAGCTATAAATCAATACTCAAGGGAAGTTGCATTAATAGTGAAGAAAATATTAACTTATCATAAGCATGGCAAGCACGGTTATGTTACCTCCAACTGTAGCAAACTTTAACACAACATTGTATATTTTGTCCCCTCAATCACTAGTCGTCAATATATATGTTAGACTATAAAAATTTTTAAATGTTATATATCCAATTGAATTATGAAAAGTCTATTGTAAAACAATTTTTATTATGTCACATTTTGTCATTAAGTTTGTTACATTTATCTTTTGAATTTGAGTATTGTTACGTGATGTACAGAATGTTCTTTCTAAAAAAGCCATTTGAATAAGAGCATTCGATTTATGGAAATGTATAATGTGAGAATCTGGGATTTAGAAGGAATATTTGTCAAATATTATTATAAATTTTAACACTGATAGAAAAATTATCAGTCTTTGACTTCCACTGACTCAGGGAGAAGGACACTTTACTTTTTCCTAAAATGATAGTTTCAGAGCAGTGAACCAGCCAAACTTCCCACACAATCACCTGACTTCCTTCTCTCGACAGAAGTATGGCGTGACATCTCCATAATCTTATTGGATGTCAATTCCATATGAAAGGGAAAGGTCACTTTTAACCTCTTATGTTTCAGTTATGCTCTTATGTTTCAGTTCTAGATGTACTCTAGTCATGCTCTACCCTTTTGTTCCCATTTTGGCACTCTCACCAAGCACCTAACAGATTAGCGATCATCATCCCAAGATTGTGAGTGTAACTCCATAAATCACTTAACTCTATAGTAATCATGTACTGTACAGACGTCAGGTAATATATGTATTTATACATTGAAAACTCTCTCTCAAGGTAGAATTAGAGATTTAGAAGTAGACATTTTCGTGTAGTTGAATTATCAATCTTTTTATGTATATTAATCTTGGGAGCCATTTTTTATGTATTCCTTTTAGATTTTTAGTATAATAAACATTGTTATATCCTAAACCATCTGTTTAATTAAAATAGTTTTTAACTCCATCGTTGGCTCATGTAACTTCTGAACATAACCCTCCTAGGCTCCAGTCATAGAAAAGTTATTCTAAGCCACTGTGAGAATAATTTACTTTAACATGTCTGAGTCAACAAACTTTGACTAAGTGGTGTCAGGACCCTGCTAGAGAAAGATCTTATGATCTATCTCTTAATCTTATATTTTATATCATCCAATGAGTGGGTTAG